TAATTGCCTGTTGATGACACCCACACATACTACTTTTATGTCAGGGGACAGCTGTGTTACCAAAATAAATTTAAATTCCTTTACATTTTGAGATATTATACCTCAGTTGTCCTCAAAGGAAACAAAGCTAGATCTATTGGTTCTACAGATGCAGAGTAAACATCACAAAACTGGAAAAGTCTTTTGCTCAAAGTAGATCTGAAGAACCCCAGCACTTTTACGCTTAAGCAGCACCGTTCCTTAACAAATCTGAATTATTACATGGATGAAAAAGAACCAAATAACCATTTAGTTTCCTTCCAGAAGGGGGGGAAAAAAAACCCACACCACATTTGAAAGATAGCTGGTTTTCATTAATTCTTAAAATTTGTACCTATGGGGACAAAATAAAAAGGAGAGGCATGTATTTTCCAGCTACTCCAACTCTATTTCTCATACCTGTTTCTCCACATAAATGCATCCACTTGCATACGTGATTTTCTACACTCCAAGACAATAAACAAGCATAGCCTTTCAAACTCACATTTGAAAATTAGATGGCAAAATATTCATATCCTGAGAAGGACAAGATTGCCTCCCTGTTGGTTTATGCAGTGAAAATTAATTGTTTCTCCTTCTTACCATGCACTCTTTCAAGTCCCTGTAATTGCTCATTGATCCACCATTGCCCATATTCTGCATGTTATCAGGAGCAGGCAACTTCACAACTACCAAATTTGGTTCAACATCTCAGATTACGACGACTGTGCAAGCAGCTTGACGAGCATCAGTCTAACAATCATAAAGCAGCTATAAAAACACATTTTTATGTGCACTGTAATGTTACCCCTAGTCATTGAGGGAAAATGAATAACTAAAATGTCACCACGCTCAACTAATATGCCTCGATATTTCATCAGTTGGACCATGGTGCAATAAAACACAAGTAAAACAGACTTTGTTGAAGTTTTCATGGTTTGAGTAAATCCAGTTGCTCCATCAGCTTATTATCAGAGCACACGTACAGGGAACTTGAAGATGCAGGCCCCTGCTGCTTTTCCAACTTCTCATTTCAGAGTAATTAGCATTCTTAGTGCATGCAGATCCATGAGTACACGGCAAGAGGGTGGAAAGGCTGCCCACTTGCTGCAGTGGAAAAACCCACAGCAATTGGCTGAATAAAGTTAGATCACAATTGATCCAGAGGAAAAGAAAATATACCAACTGCTATTCGCTATCAAGAAGGTCTCATATTTTTTTGATACTTTGAAAACACACTAGGGGTGGGGGCATCCTCTGCTCCCTGCTAAACAAAAATCAGCATTTTCAATGCACTCAATTAGCAGTGTTTTAGGTCTGTCTCAGATTCATCATCAGAGCTAACTGATTTCAAGCACAGGCCAATCTCACCATCCAGCATCATTATGAACAGGTAGGTGGCGAAAAGGAAAACAAATCTCTGATTAAGAAAAGCATGAGGGGGAGGCACACCATTTACAAACTGCACACAGCCGTTCCCTTCTCAGAGAAATAACGGTGTTTCTGAAGGGATACCCCGCAATCAAATTTTATAGGACTGCTCTGGAAGCCCCCAGATTGGAGATTTTAAATTAGACCAAGCTGGCTGAAAAGGCACACATTCATCTTTATGTCAAGAGAGAACGTGGGGAAGAGAAAATTCAATGTTTCCTGGCTTATTTCCCTGCTCCACCTCCACGCACAGAGCAAAAGCATGCTTTGGGGCAGGGAGGTCTACAGAGGAAACTGTGGTAGCACATAGGATAATGTTTCTAGAAAGCAAAAATATTTATCACAACTAGCTAGCTGCACTGCAGTGTGAATGCAACTCTCTGTATGCGTCGGTGGGAATATCTGAGGTCAGCACTTGTCAGAGGAAACAGACACACGTTCCTGTTCTCTTGGCATGAAAAGCACACGCTGCCGGAGTGGGAGGCAGCTCTCCTGGCCCAAAGCCCACACTGGAGTCCCAGGAGGTAAAAGGCTGGAAACGTCCCTCCCCTCCCACTCCTTTACACATGCAGAAACCAGTTATTCTCCAGACCTGGTTTTGTGCTGAGCTAAATTCTAGGTTTATATTCATCCTTTTTAACACTTTGAAAATAATAAATTACAGAACTGGGTTTCATCAACTGAATTCCACCTCCGTCCACAGCACAGAGTGACTTCCAGCACACTAAAGCAACATGCACTGGCAGGTGTGGCTCCACCGACATTGACATTCATCAGCCCACAGAGCCTGCAAGTGCCCAGCTGCAAGCACCGGCACATCATCATCGCTACAGATGATTACATTCTTAGAACCATCTAATTAAGCCCTATTTTCCCGGCCTCAGAGACAGCTATATGGTAGCTCACCTGTTCCAGCATCACCTCATTAATTAGAGACTTTCCTTCAAATGCAGCCAGGTGCTCCAGCCAGGAACAGGCCCCAGCTGTTGTCCAGCAACACCTTCCTAACAGCAGCACCACAACTGCTTTGGGGCAAGTCACGTTATACGTGAGAGAACCGTACCATCTCCTAAATGCTTTTCATATAAACGTGAATAAATGAATAGTTGCTGGTTTTCTCTTTTCCCTTGTCCTTCAACAGAGGATGTGAACATCGTATTCAGAAAACAAATTCCTATTACATTTGGTGTCTATTTCTACTTTATCATCATTTGCACCCTACTTTCTACTGCAGCCTACTGTATATTTTTGACTTTTTTTCACCCATACATAGCTGTGAGAACAAACTATTTACAAACTTCGACAGACACTAAAGCTTTAAATACCTTCTCTTTCAGGTCATTGTCCTTCTGAACTCATTGGGCTCACATTGTATTTACTCACAGACCTTAGCAGCAACAACAACAAAAAAAGTAAAAACCAGCCTCACTGACCTAAGGAAGCTCAGTGAAGCGTTGGCATGTTTCTGCACCAGACTGCAAGTGAGCACCAACCGCTACAGCTTTATCTTGGTACAAGACTGCTGACTGCTTCAATTAAAGTATTTACATTCTTCTTCATTTAGACACCTCCTGCAGCCCCATCCAGTACAGCAGACGAGCACTTCTGACAGTTGCTACTCATACCCCAACACCTCTTCCCCGGCCTTCGGGGAGGCGTACAGTGAGTGGAATGCAATTTTCATCCAATTATACATTCCCACTTCTTTTACAGATCTGTGAAAACAACCAGCTTCCCTGAGCATTCATGTCTTTGCCTGAATAATAAAGCTAACCAGCTAGCTACTTTGCAGGTGGATTAATCAATACTGGTGCATACACCATGAAGCATACATTAATGCATGGGACAAAAATAATCTGACAACAGTGCCCTGACCTTAACTCCTTCAGGTCCTGCTCAGCAGCCACCCCATCGCAGTGTTGCAGGCTATCAACTGTTTCACGGACAGATGCACGTTTCAGGTACCTTTTATTTTGCTCTTACTCCAGCACACAAGGTTGCTAACGTATAACGAGCTGCCAGACTGCAGCCTGCCCCCCAGACCAGGCACAACGCCAGGCCCTCCGCCCTCAGCCCGCGTGGCCAAGGCTCCCTGGCCATGGACTGGTGCCTGCCCAGAGCTACAGGGCAGTGGGTGCCGCTGCTGGTGGTGGCGGTGGTGGCCAGTGGTCCCCTGCCCAGCTCTTCCTCCAGCTGGCCCAGCGAGCCAGACACAAAAGCACGCACACAGCGTTAACCAAAGGCAAGAGAGAGACGGCCGATCCCAGGGCGCTGAGGGAAGACACCATTGGTGTGGAAGAGATACTGAGCAGATTATCAACCATGCCGCACCCACACAGGCAGCCCAAGACTAAGGAGAGACACACCATCTCTGTCACCGAGGAAAGGCACACTTACCGCGCTGGGTGGCTGCCTTCCGCTGGCTGCAGGCCAGGCCCCACCGGAGCACAGGGCCCTTCCACCCCCAAAGCCCTGCCCCGCAGCTGGGCTCCTGCACTGGCAGGCCCGGAACCACAGCTGTGGTCCCCAGCCCCGCACCTGGGCAGCAGGCATCAGCCCTGGCCATGCCCTGGGCCCCTCTTGCCCTCTTCCCCACAGGCATTCAGCCCCTGCCCCGAGTAACTGAATGATTTCTTGAAGTACAAACACCTTAGGAGTCTTTAAAATGGCTCATGCAAAGCACTCATGCTCATGGAAAGCAAGCAGTCAAGAGCAACCCTCTCCCATGCGCAAGCAAGCAGTGTTTTCTCCCATTCTCCTCCCTCAGGTGTTGCTCGTAAACTAAACGCAGGCAGCAGACATTTATAACACCACCCTGCCACACCGCCGTCGGAATGCACCCAGAGCACAGAAATTCAAAATACAACTCTGTTTGTGCAATACACTTTTATTTTTACTTTATTTTTTTAACCTTTGCAGTCATCTTGGAGTAATCATCATGTAAACAGTAGGATGGGATGGGATTACATTGAGTCGTACGCAAATGGCTCTAGAACACCTCAACGATTATGACAAGGCATTATAAATAACTTCTCTTAATAATATATATTTGCCATTTTCAGTACATTAAAGAGCTGCCGCTTAACTAGGATTAGCTAGGAAGTAGTTTAAATTGTAACCTCCAAGAAACACGTCTCCAAATTTGACAGTCTTTTGCAGGTTCGCTAGCTCCATAACATGTCTGTCACAGGTTAAGCTTAAGACTACTTGGATCAGAAGTGTTTTCTTTGTGTCAGTTTTACTTGATCATTGCACAAAGCCCTATTATTTTCACTCCACCTTGGTATTTTGCAGAACTTCAAGTAAAGCTTCAGTTCCGTTCTTCAAGTTTTTATCACCTGTATGAAACCGGTTTCTATCATTAAGAGTAAGTCAGATCAGAGACGGACACAGTAAGCAGTCTACCTTAACGACAACAGTTCAAAGTAGTTCTAGCTCATAGACTCCCCAATAAAGCATAGTCAAAATACTCTAACACCTTTGCTACTGTATATCCTCCTCCTCTCTCAGATAACTATATATATATTTATGTATATTGTACCATATGTATGGTACTTCTAGAAAATGGAGATTATTTATTTAAGCAGCCTCAGGCACATTCTTCAAACATTAATGTCTGCAAGGCACCTCCCACTCCCTTGACAATCAGTTGGTGGACTGGTTTTTAGACACATAACCAACAAAAGCTTGCTAATGCCTAATTAATTAATTTCAAAACAACCCCATAAATTACCAAATATTTCAAAGATATACCTGAAACTTTTTTAAATAATGGGAGATTAACTGCAAATAGCACAGAATCAAGTCAAATAATTTTCTTATTACTAGGATGTGTAATGCATAAATATATGAAAAATAAAATTCACAGTCAGTTTTAAATCTAGAATTCAAGTTTGGCTAATAAGTCTTAACTTTTATATTTATGTTAATTTCTAGATATAACAGAACAGAGGCAGTATTATCAACCACAAGTACAGGTGAAATAGTATCACTCAAAGTTTACGAAAGAAGTAAGCTTGATAGAAAATTCCTTTTATAACCAAAAAATACAGCCACCTGAGTGCATTTCCACAGGCTTTTCACTTAGGGGGAATCCAAATCAACTGCTAAGAGACATTTAGTAGCATTTTGAATGTTAGCAGCAGCAGTGTAGCTGTGGGCTTTGCTTGTTCTGACTTTGTGAATTGCTAGAGAATGAAGCAGAACTCAGCGTGTGGTGCATTAATTTTCCTTTGCATCTAAGCTGGCCTCTTCGCAATCTCCCAATTCGGCCTGGGGTCAAGGGACAGACATCAGCTGACACTTAACTGAGCAAACCCAATCAGTTTCACTTCATCGGGAATCTCGGTGCCATCACAGCCAGAGGCCTGCAAGTACAAACAGAAAGTTTAGTGTATCATGCTGCAAAGGAGGATTTGACAGCCAGGCTACAAATTTTCCCCGTATCACCTAGTCAGCAAAGAGCTTGCTTGAAGGAAAGCTTTCAGACTGCCTGGTGTACCCTCTGTCAGTGTCAGCCAATGGCATCCCTTATTTTAGCAAACTATTTTAATCAATATTAAAAATCGTGAAAAAAATACTGGGAAATGAACAGTTAAAGACCAAATTCTTTAATCCAAACTTTGCAGACTGGAGCCAAATTTGCTTTTTCATGTGAGCATGCTGTTTTCACTCATGAAGAGCAAATAACCTACATGCATAGAATCTACCTTTTACTGTTGTACTGGAGACACCAAATGTCTCATGAGTCCAGCTATCAAACCTTTCTGGAACACCAATCCACTGAATTCTTAAACATGAGACTGAAGCAGTCTACAAAGAACAAATACTAATATTTGCAAAAGGACAGCTCCCTTCTGACAGTACAATCTAGCACTTAAAATTGTATAGCTGAGATTCTTCTGTAAAGTCTGTCACTGTACAAACCAGCACAAGTATCAGTTCATTTTTCCACAAATAACAGTAAGACTAGAAAACCACTTTGCTCAGGACTGAACCATTACTCTAGGTCTGTTTTAAAAATATTACACACTCTGTAGGCAAAATACTTTTACATTTTGAATATTAAACACAAAATTTGCCTCTGTAGGACAGAACTGACTACATTTTAAATAAAGTTTTTAATGCATTCTTCACCTGTGTGGTAGATAAAATAACAATACAATTGGATGAACAGTGTGTAATGGTAAATTACTTATGACAGATGCCTTCAGACTCTTTGGCATATCCCCCAACAAACTGTCAGAACAATTGGTTCACCCTGTAAAAATGCTCTTGATCCTTTTATGCATTACTAGCAGTTGAGCACTTCAGTAGAACTGGTTTGTGTATCTGCAACGCAAGGAAAAGAGCTCTCAGACTGTGCACACAAGGTGCACCAAGTGACGTTATGTACTGAGTTTTCATGACCAAAAATAAACTCACTCGATACCTGTGGAAGCATTACACCAGGCTACTCCTTCAAATTTACTTTGATCACACACAGAGGACAGAAGTTCTCTCTTCGGAGAGTATTTCACTGGTCTTATTCCACTGAAGCAGCAAGTTAAAGACTTGATATCATCACCACTGGTTACGATTAAGATATCTCAATAGTTTTTGGATTGGGAATTTACTAAGTGAATCAAGTTTGAATTTTGCACTTAAACTATCACGATAAAAAGAGTTAATATTATTAACATTATTCTACACTCTAGCTAGCTATCAATCTCCTCAAAGCCATGCTAAGTAGCATATCTAGATGCATATATATTTCTAAATGCCTTCCCTAACAATAAATGTTGTCTAATATTTAATGCACCTGGAACCTATTAACTTATATTTTGTGCTTAGCATAAGTACAACTACTATACACAAACTGCAACATAGAAGAAAAGGTCTTAGTATTTGCAATTCACCGTTTAGCGACTGAATGCATTCTTTCATTAACGTTTTTTTCCTCCCTTTTTCATATGAAAAATCCTTACATAAAATGCAAATTATGCTGCTCAATAATTTGGTGTTTCCTTGAGTGTTGCCAAGATTACTTGTGTATTAAAGCAGCCTCCTTCCCAAAGTGTGGACAGCTGGATCCTGCAGGGAAGTCGTCATTCTCTTAGCCAAGAGAACTAAGGGAGGTTTAATACTATGTATGTTCTCTAGAACGACATCACTGTAAGACCAAAGATGCACTGCCAAAAACAAATATGCAAGAGGGAGATCAAATCTTAAAGGCAGATTCATGCAGACATCTCACTTAAATAACTTTCTTTACCATTCTGGCAATAATTAAAGACAAAAATGGTTAAGACATAGGTTGCTGTCCTTTTTTCCCCAGAGATGACAATGCTTACTGTTTGAATAGAAATAATATACAACAGCCAAGTACCAGCAAAAGGAATCTGCAGGCAGTGAGATACTACCCAGATTCCCTGTCCACAAATAGTGGTAACTAATCCTAGACCAAAGAGCACTTTTCAATTGAATTCTGTGAATGGATACAGGATTAGCTACATTTAGACTCTGAATTCCCATGAAATATTTACCAACAAAATGTTGTAATAATCAAGCTGTATACAAGTGGTCTCAAATTCAGCGAGACCTTGCTAAGAGGTAATAAGGACTAAGTAGGGCACACAAACAACTGACAGGCTAGGCAACAATTCATTTAGCAACTCCACTACACAATACAGAAACAGGCAGATACAGAACAAATATTAAATTAATCCAAGGATAAGAATAAATTTGGATACTTCTGGTGGTTACGTTCTTTTCCCAGAAAGTAGGGAACTAATGCAGGAAGCGTAGGTTAAAAATATCAGGAAGAAACTTCGGTTAAAAATTAACCTCAGGTACCTAGCGAATGGAACTTACCTTGAGAAGGGACATTGATTTTGGATTGTCTGTTAATTCTGACTATGGTAGGGAGTAGGACTATAACAGCATTCACTCACTGGAACCCAATACACCATGTGACATTCACTGCATCCCAGCAATAAATCTAACCGAATCACAGAAATACCCCAACCTAAATTTTCAAGTGGATTTGTTTTCAACATATATATAAATATTAAATGGATACTATGGGATATTACATTTTGCCATCTCAAGCCTCCATTTTAAGCGTATGAACTAGAAACCCAGACTTCTACAGAGCTTCTAGAGTATCCATATATCTAAATGCTCTTGGTGAGATGCCACTGAATATACAATAAAGCTAAGTCAGATGTTTAGACATCAAGAACACAGATCAGCTGCAAAAAGAGAAGCATCAGCCTTTAAGCTATATTTAGATAGTAAGGGCCCCAGAAACAAACTAATTTGAGTTACGTGTCCTTATTCCCTCACCCCAACCGCTTCCTAAAAGAAACATGTACGTTCTGGTGATTCTACTGGACTGAAGATGAAAAATGTGTCCAAATGATTCGGTCAATTAACACTAATCAAATCTATATTTAAAAAATGACATAGGAAGAACAATCCTGAATCAATACATTATCATCAACTAGGTCACTCACTAAATATGGCTCTCTATAGCCCATCTGAAGCAGCTGCTTTTACAAACAAAGCTGTGATTCTGGAGACCTACTTATCTAACATTCAGTCTAGTCTTTCATATGTGGCTGAGTCACTCTCAACAAGGGCCGCTGAAAGCTAATTGGTAAGAGTTTGGTATTTACATAGCTAATCATTCAGTAGCTTTAGGTATGTACATTTTGCAACTTAATTTTAGCAAGAAATAGAAACAAATACAGCACATCAATTCTGAATTAAGCTTTTGCAATGTAAAGTTACTGTTATTAAATTAGATCTATCATGATAGCATCAAAATCAACCAAAATTAGGACCCATAGTCCATGGCACAAAACGCAGCACAGAAAACAGTCCCAGGCCCAAAACCAGGGTCTGATGTTGCATGTACAGAAGACAGAAAGAGGTTAGGAGGGAAAAACAGTTATGAAATATGGTGGAAGCAAGATTAACTTGCAAGTATAGATGGTCAATTGAAAGAAGGTTGAAGCAAAGAAGTAAGGAGAAGCAAGCAGTGGAGAGGGTGGCCTGCATGCAAGAAAAATGGTGGCAGGTGTTGGAAAAAAAGCGGGATTGCAACAAAACGTCCATTAGCAGAGGACACTTCAGCCAGGGCAGAGCTGACCTAACAACTACAGTTTTGTCTGCTTTACTTGTTTCTGCAATTCTTCCCAGGGGTTTTCTCCCTGTAGTTTCTCATGTAAACCTCAGAACTAATGTGAATCAATCTCCTTCCCGCTGCACAGGTATAGAGCTGAGTGACTGTACATATCCTTAATGTCCTGTCAAAATACATTATCACCTTATCGTCAACACGTTTATTTGGCAAAATAGCTGTAAATGAGATAAAATCCAGACTCTGTTTGAATACTGGGACAATTAGTTAGTTTCTTCCCTTCGTACTTTTACTTACCAACTTAAAAGTCAATGTTTTCAAGGCCTTTGGATCATCTACTATCTTCTGTAAGTTAGCAGCAACTGTGAAAGTATGAAAAAAATGATTTACAGAAATTGCACTCAACATGACATCAAGCCTCATGTTGAATCTTCTACTTAATTCTACATACATACATGTCTGTAAATTACCATTCAATTCATTTAATCACTCTCTAGCTGTCATTTGAAAGTCAGAGGGCAGCTGGGCTGCCATAAATCCTGCCTCCTTTCTTTTGCAGTCACTGATACTTTGTGACTATGTGTACTGATTCAGGGGAAAAATCTGCCTGAAAACCAAATGATAGAAAAAAATAGCTACTAATTTTCAGCTTAGTCTATTCCATAAATTTGTTTAACAATTACACAAATGCAAGCGCAAGGAGAATGGGAGAATCAGGCAGCCAAGGATAAGCTGATGGCTGTCATCATTTATACCATGTTTCTACTATAGACAAGGCCGCCACCGGCACAAGTTTCTAAGAGAAGGCTGAGCTCACTGGTCCCTCTGTTTCTCTCGGCTGTATATGTGTTCTTCCATCCTTTTTCTGCACTTTTATTAGTACCCACCCAGACTCTTGGTGATCTGTTACACCTCATTGCATCAAAAGAAAAATGAGCAAAAATAAGAGAGTGGTACAAAAGGAGCTAACCTTCAAAACTGCTCTCGCAGTAAGCATGACCGAGATGTGTGATGTAACAGCAATAAACAGTTTACCTAGACCTACAGAGCCACTGTCCAGACAAGGAAGCTGTATTTACTCCTTGAAAACAGAGAAGGAGGCAGGAAAATAATAAACTCTTTTTCTATCAAAACATCTAAGTCACACTTCTGATTGGTCAATTTGTTAATATTGCTACCATTAATCTTGACCAAAAAGACTCTTTGCTTTCAACTTTGTACCTTTAGTAAACTTGCTCCCCAGCTTTGCACAGTCACAGATTCTGAGCTCACTCAGATCAAATCATTGAGAGCCTTTGTTCAAGACTGACTTAGGAGCACAAGATGTCATCAACAGGACATTAGCACTAGATAAAGACTCCACACTTGGCAGAGCTATTTAGACAAGATTCTAAAAAGGAAATAAACAGGGATTAAGTATCAGACATTTCTTAGTATACTGAGTAGGTAAGTACCATACAGCAGAGATCCAAGAAACCAGATGTTCTCCATAAATAATACTTTCCACAGATGTCATAAGGTGGAAGACAAACAGCAAACACTTGCATGTTCAATGTTCTGCTGCTACAGACTCAGATTCCTACTTTCTCCATCTTCTAACATCACAATGATAAAATTTTCACTCCTAATGTGCCTGATAGGGGGACCTTATTGCTCTCTTCAACTCCCTGAAAGGAGGTTGTAGTGAGGCAGGTGTCGGTCTCTTCTCCCAACTAACCAATGATAGGACAAGAGGCAAAGGCCTCAAGTTGCGTCAGCGGAGGTTTAGGTTGGATATTGGGAAAAATTTCTTTACTGAAAGAGTGGTCAGGCATTGGAACAGGCTGCCCAGGGAGGTGGTTGAGTCACCATCCCTAGAGGTGTTCAAAAAACGTGTAGATGTGGCACTTTGGGATATGGTTTAGTAGGCATGGTAGTGTTGTGCTGATGGTTGGACTTGATCTTAGAGGTCTTTTCCAACCTATGATTCTATGATAATCTTCTTTGTTCTAGTCATTACAAACAGTTTTTATTTTAATCGCACAATTCACTTCCACAAACAATAAGTCAATTTTATTGCGATACCTCCTGCCTGACAAAATACATGCAAATATGCATAATGCTTTTCATTACAATTAATACTTAGAACTTCATACACAGGCAAAGAAGGAGCCTCATAGCTCCTGAAACCAGGATAAAATAGCTTCAATTTTGTATGTTTTAAAAATCTGTAAAATAGGATCAGGCACTCAAGAGCAGCTCTGGCTCATCCAAATCTCCGTAAAACATATCTAAAATAAAAATGAAGTAACAAATTCTCCAGCTCGTGTTAGCTGGCTTCACTGAAATGGAGACACAGTGCTACAAAAACAGATAGGAGCTGGGTCCTAAACCCAAATTTCTAACTTCACCTATTATAAAATGTTACAAAATGATGAGCTCCAAATGCACCCTCCCCTCCTCTTCAAGAAGGGCAGCCTTTCATGTAATGCTGAGCAGCTGTTGAATGACTAAAGCAAGGCTGCATGCTGCTGGGCTATTTCGCCTGAATGCAAAAACTTCCAGCTGCCCTTAGGCAAAGCTACCGGCAAAGTTACTATTCCTGCACTTGCCAACAGCAGCCCATTATCAGCAAGTGTGTTAATGAACTATCCGTCCTGCTGATTCTTTATGAGGGAAGAAATCAAAATTTTCAAAGCAAAAATAGCAAAAGATAAACTAGCAATATGTGTAAATAGTTAATTCTAACTACTTTTTTCTGTTAATTAAACACCATAATAGGAAGGAGTGATACCAGTCTTCAAGAAAGCCTCTTTTCAAAGAACAGTGCTCACGAAAAGGCTACAGGGACACACTTCTCTTTGTTCACTTGTCTTTACTTTTAATAAGAACACAAGCCAAAAACTTTTGCATATATGCTAGAGAAACATCTAAAGCAAGCATATGAAATATGCTTTATTTTTGCTTCTCTGATGAGCCATAACTGGAGTGGGACATGTTTAATCAAACAGAAGTTTAGGGGGATTTAAGGGAGTAATGCCAGATGTTTTCAGGCTATGCTTGAAAATGAGAAAGCAGACCTGCAAAGAGTCCATAATTTTTAAATACGTTTACATAAAAAATAGTCACACCTGCAGTTTCCTACAGAGAGATCTTTTCAATTTCAATTATACGCATTCAGCATTTTTCAAGGTAAAACTAGCGTTTCACCTGTGACTTTTAGTGTTCTGTGTTTTACATTTTCTGGTCTTTACAGAATGACAGTAAAAATAATTTTGCGAAAATAATGTCATTAGTCCCATTCAATCAAGCCGCTGTGAATGCAAAGCCCCCCAAAGGCCTGCTCTTTCTGCAATACCTGAAAGTGTAAGTAATTAACATCAACTAAGAATGAAATATGTGTGCATAATTGCCTAGCAAAACCATACAGTCCTGTTGGTATCTTTTTCATTTTTCTAACTTCTTGGGTTTGTTTTGCTAGGCATTGTCGTTACTTAGACTGCAAGGCCAACAATTAGAGCCAACTATCTGAATTCTGATATCTAAGTCTGCGTTTCAAGAAACTACTTAAAATATGGTTCATCTTTTTCAGGGATGAGACAATCATTATTCTTTCCACTTTAGTACAAGCCAAAGGTTCTAGGACCTCAGTAAGTACATAGCATGTCTCTCTGCACCTAAACACATTGAAGATTTGGGCTCAACTGGTAACTGGAAACTTTTGGGGCCCGATATAGTCAGCTGTGAAAAACAGCAGTAACCAACGAGCTGCAGGTGTCCATGGCATCTCTAGTTTCCTTAACACCCTTTAGAAACAGAGCCCCTAGCACAAGCAGCAGAAGCCATCCAAGCAGTTGGAATTCCTTCCTGAAAGCCAGCCTGCAGTGCTTTCCAATTATTTCTCCAGAAAGTTTGGAGATCCCACCTTAACTACGGTAAAGACATCCTCAGAATTACAAGTAGAACAACATACTCTAGAGTGGAATACTCATCCTACTTTCAATGCAATTAAAATAAGCTATCAGTTGCATTAAATATAACTGACTTACCACTCTTACAAATACACTTCTAAAAATTTAGGACTATTATGAAGCCTACACAGTTTGGACCAGTAAGTATGCAAAGTCTCCTGAAAGACACCCAGAAATTCATGCCAGACATACGCTCACAACAGTAAACCATGTTCTCGCATCCATGCTGCTACTGTTCAGCTCTATTCAGAATTACTGATTGCATCAGGTAAGAAAGAAAAACAATCACTTTTAAGTGGAACCGCTGTTAGGTTTTACTGATTAACATCTCCCCCAGCTACTACATTTAGTCTCTTTTCATCAAGGAAAATGATTTACTAGGTCAAGACTCACTAACCTTCCTAGTACAGTTCACGTACAAAGTTTTAATTTTGCTTAAATACAAAAAATAAGCCTAAAGTTTCTAAATGCAGATGAACCCAACCACATCTGCAAACACTAGGGAGGAAAATAACCATTCCACTCTCACCACCTCTCCCTCCCTCATGCTCCCAACAAATCTTCTATTGCAAGTCAGTGAACAGTGTCAATTTAATACAGCAATGCTCTCCCTCAAGTAGAAAAGAGTTTCGCATTAGGAGCTTCTAGAGAGGTAGGAATCGTTCTCTCCACTGATACTTAAATTATTTGGAAAAGTGGACAGCGTTGTAAAATATATGTCTCTGGATGCTAGTTTACACCTTATCTCTAAGTTAAGTATAGGACAGTTCCTATTGACAAAGCCATTTTTCTTTGAAGTACTCTTGAGTGATGCCTTGGATGTTGTACTTCTGAAATTCATAGCAGCATGCAGCACTAATTGACAATTTCAAATCCTGTTGGGAATTCACTGCTTCTACAAGTCTGGATATATTAGACTCAATTTTATTTTGCAGAGTGTTTTCTCAAGATGTTATGGCCATGCTCCTATAAAAGTCAGAAGAAGAAACATGAACAAGATAACTGCAGGAAAAAATTAAGCGGTGATGGAAAAACCTTTGCTGGCAGCAACCTCAAGTAAATAGAGTATACTTCAAAATCATGCCTTGGAGCAAAAGCCCTCTTCAAACGTTAGCAGCAGTTAGCACAACAGGCTTTTTGTTGTTTACAGCAATAAATGAGGTGCCATTCCGCTTTCTTCAAAAGTCTTCTGAAGAACATATAATCAACCTATGTACCACAAATCATTCCACGTTCTTTTGCAGGTTTTGCTCAGTGATGAATGGTGGTACCACTCCGTCAAAATAAGTGTCTGCACTTGCAGAACATGCAATAGGATAAAAGGTCAAACCCAGCACATAAATATATACAACACAGGCTGCTAATTGCAGATGTAATAAACAAAAAAATCCCACACAACTACAGTCCTCTAG